TAGTCGCCTCTGGGCCCGCACTTTCTTGGCCTCCCCCTAGCAGTCCAGCCCAGCCCCTGTTCCTTTTGCTCGGGGTCCTCATTGCAGGCACGACCAAGAAGGAGCAGATGAGCTTAGAGGAGCGGGCAAAGGATGCTCCTAAGGAAATAAGAAGGGTTGAAGGGAGAAAAACTCAGCCACACACCCAGAAGCCAATGATTTTACGCCTCCCCCCGGAAGCTCCTAGCGAAGGAGAGCTCCATATTTTTTTGGGTAGTGTTGGTGTGTGGAGGGGCTGAAAGAGGGCTGCTTTCAGGCTGAGGGGCAAGATCTGGTGTGGGGCAAAGGCGTCTACGCGTCCTGTGCCTTCTCTGGAGACAGAGATGGTTAGAGAGCCAGCGTTAGTCCTGCTCAGAGCAAACTCGTTGAAATCAATGGGCATGACTGAATGAGGGCCGTCGATTCAAGAGGTTCTGCTCTGAGTTGGATGTAACTCATTAGCTGGAAGGAAGGGGAATGAGAAACAGCAGTGAGAGCAAAGAACCACAGCGCCAAACCAGCGCCCGGAGAGAAAGGTCAATTTCCTGCGATCCAAAGCGATACTGCCGCCGCCTCCCTGCTTGTAATACTAGCAGATCTCAAACTTTGTGCGCCTGTTCCCAGCTCTGCCACGCGGATTTTTAAGGGACTCTAGCCGCCGAACGATGTCACAGGCCTGAATTCGACGGTGCTTTGGGAAATGACACGGGTTAGTAAGGCGTTCAGGGTGGTGAAAACAAGAGCGCGAGAGAAAGTAAAGCCAGCCTTCGTTTAAAAAGACCCAGAAGCGATCCAAACCGGAGTCCCTCTGGTTTAAGCTCGCTGAGGACTTGGTATGCAGTGGTTTGTGGATTGCACCCTAAAGGGGGCACATTTCCTTCGAAGCAGCTACGTTTGTTGGGATATTGAACGATTCGCTGCGTCGCAAAGTGTGCTAAGGTTCCGGGTATTAACGCTCAAGTCAAGCGCTTGAAAACTCTCCTCGCTTGAGTAACTGCAACTAACGACAAGTTTGCATAAGATGGGAAGGACCAATAATGCGTTAAGTTCATTTTGTGGGGAAGGGGAGGGGGCGTGTGCGTGGAGCAGAGGGAAGAGGCGGGCATCGCTGGTTTGTGCGATAACCTTAGCAGGGTCTCCACGATCCTGACGCCTCGGAGACTAGGAAGGGGGAGATCGGGGCTCTTTCCACCCCAAGGCGCACGAAGACTGCACCCGAGGACCAAAGAGACGCCTCGAAATGCTTTTAAGTTTCCTTTAAAAACAACACACACACACACACACACAAACACAGCAAGCCAAGTTAGCTGTCACATAAACAGTAGTTGTGTCAGAGTTGGAAACACCCCAGTCCAAGGAAACTGCACACAAGCGACCAACGTAACAAAAAGCAGCAGGAGTCTGTTCTTTCTTGCTTGCTTGTTTGCTTGGCGTTTATTAAAATTATTTATTGGTGATCACCATTTCTTCGCTTCCTGAGAGGAAAAAGTTAAAATGCGGGTCCAAGAGACGCGAGATGCACACTTCAGTTAGGTCACTGGTTCCTATGCAGAGCCCACTCCAGCCCACCCCGAGGGACACGCGTGCTGTGGGGCCACAAAGTGGGGAAAAGAACTGAGGGTATCTTGAGATACAATCAAATCCCTCTGAGCGGTTCCTTATGGGTATTCCTGAGGATTTCATCGCAAAGTCCCGGTGGTAGAATATTGTGTCAACTCCACTACCCAACCCCGCACCCCTAAAAGCGAGTCTGATTTCAGAGATTTGCATTAAAATCAATGATGCTGAGTATTTCGTCTAAAGTCTTCAAAGATAAACATTTTTAACACTGAAACATTCAGATTTTATATTGTTCGTGCCTCGGGGCAGGGATCTCTTTTTTCTTTTTCGTTTGTTTGTTGTAAAGTCGTAGCAGCGATAACAAAATGAGACGAAATGAAAAACAGAAAACTGCACTTAGACGACACTGTATCGTCTGGTAAGGGTAAAAAGACGGATAAATATATCTCACACACACACACACACACACACCAGTTTTGTACCAGTAGGAAGGTGCGTGTGCGCGCCTGTGTGTAGAAAAGCCAATTAAAGTCTTAACGTCTATACAAGCAGGTAAGAGTGATGGGTAAGTATATCAGTGTACATATATGAAAAAGGAAAACACACACGTGCGCCGGCGCGAGCGATCGGCAAACTAGTTAAGCCGTGGTGCTTTAGCTTAAAAAGTGTCTAAAATCCAAGGCCCTTCCGCCTTTTTGTTTTGGTGGTGGATCTCGTGACAGATCGTTCAGCTTGAGATCTAAAACACTTATTTGGAAACAATTTCAATGTCAATCAGCGTGACTTGTTCCAACCTGACATGTTTAGCACCGGTATGCCATAAAAGTATTTCCCTTCATTATTCTTTCTGGTTAGCATATTGATTTAGTGAAGACATGCATAATTTCTTCCTTTTAATATACCTCATTTCTGTTATAAAATTATATTTCACTACATATGCCATGAGCTTTATATTTCTCACAGTCAACACATCTATATATCTATGTCTTAATAAAGTTAGTTTTTCTATTGCATGTACTTTTGTGTGCACGCGATAGGTATGGTTTAGCTTAGCTATAATTTTTAAAAGCCATGTACACAACTTCTCAAAAACTTCTCAGAAACCATGCACTAAAAAAAAATTAAACTCAAAGTCAGATCCTGACTCCTCTTTTAAACACAAGATAACGAGAACGTGTGTGAAGTCCTCTCCTCGCTCTGTGACTGAACCAACCGAGAGGCGTATTGCACAGATTTCAGATGTTGCTTACAAGCCTTAATTAGGAAATTCTTCCCCGGAAACCATCCCAAGTTTGTACTAGACATCTCTTGAGGGGAAAACTAGGGGAGCACGCCGTGCATACGAGAGACTGGCTGCCTGGTCCAACTCAGCAGCTCCCCAGAACTGATCCATTTAACTGATCCATGATTCCAAAAAGCGCCGCGCCTTGATGGAGCAGTTAACTCACTCAGGCCCTTGAAATGACAAGTAGGAGGTCAGCAAGAAAGCGCAGCCCCAACTTTGCTCCCCCCACCACTTCCAACATACACACTTTGGAGGTGCGGGCAAGCAGGGCGCTGAGAACTTCCAGCAGAGAGAGAGAGAGAGAGAGAGAGAGAGAGAGAGAGAAATGACGGGACGGGGCGTGAAAAAGACCGCTTCCTCCTGCTGGAGAGGAAACACAATGGGAACTGCCCGTCCTTGCCAGCCAAGCGAATTCTTGCACCGTCCCCAGAAGCCAAGACGTCTCCTTCGGCGGAAACGAAAGAGGAGCTCTGGCTTGAGCAAACGGATCCTGAGCGGAGGGAGGCCTGAAATCGAGACCGAAGGAAGGTGCTCTCAGCAACACCTCTCCCCCCGCTCGTGCAACGGGTTGGGCTATTGGTTCCCTAAAACTGGGGGTTGCTTTCCCCTCAAACGGGATTTCAGGGGGAGAGTTTGCCTTCATCTAATTTAGATCATTCTAAAGCTTCTTGAATGAAGGCAGCAGAAGAGCGGGTTCAGCGTGACAAATGAAAGAGCAGCGCCTGAACCTCATTTTGCCAGGACAGATAGAAACAAACATTGCCTGAAACAAACATGTGCGGGACACCGCGTTTTCCGAAAAGCGGGTGGGGAAAAAGTTCCATCCAAAGCAGTCGGCTCTTTCCCCTTTCTCTTGGTAACTGAACAGGGCTTTAAAATATACTTCCCAAAGCACGCGAAATGCAGGTTCCCACCCGCCCCAATTTGCAAATATTTCAAAAATATTCAGTTATATTTAAAGTGCGTTGCTGCCAGGCCCACTCTAATGTCTCAAACGGTTTTTGTGGGTGCCTGATTTATTGGAGTTGAGCGCAAAGCAGCAAATGACATAAGGAGTCGGTTCAAGGGACTGGGGTTATTGCTGTGAACGATTCCAAACCCTTCTTCCCCTTGGGATGGCGAGGACCGCTGCCTGGCCCAGTGGAGCCTCGACAGAGATCCAGGTGGGAGCGAGTTGCATGGCTTTCACGCAACTTCTTTCCAGGAACCTCTCTTCAAACCAAGCAGGTCCCAAGGAGTGTGACGTCAGCCACCGTCGCTTAAGTCGACGATATTCGGAAACAAAACAATATTATAAATGCGAACGACTCCGGTGATAGCGGCCTTAATTGCTCACGGATCGATTCCCCGTTTTAATTGTCCCAATGGAAAGTCAGAAATATTCCTGATTGAATTTTTAATTAAACAAACAACCAATAATTGAATCTGAGGAAAGAAAAAAGAGACCTTCCAGAAATATAAAGTTGCTAGTGCCGCCGGCTCGTCTCACCCCCCCCCCCCAATTTTTTTTTGTTTCCCAAGTAATAAAACATAAAAATCGTACCTCTCATATACCTCCTTGCGCTGCAGTCGCCTGGATAAGGAAAGGCACCTGCGAAAGTAGAATGCGCAAGAGAAAACAAAAGTTAGTCTGTGCTCTCAGATAAAATCACCAGGACTATCAATTGAACTGTCAAGTTTCCACAAGCGACTTCCTCCCTCCTCCCCACCTTTGACAAGTGATACGGTGCACCCCTAGAAAACCTGAAGCGCAGAGCGCGCGATCGTTTGGCACAGCCAACTACTGCTTTTAAGTGGATTTTAACGAAGTACCAGGCAATGAGGTATCGGGAAAATTTTACACACAGACACAGCACGCGAGAGAGAGAAGGGGAGAGCGAGAGAGAGAAATGGAAACTATTTGTCGGCGTTTCTCCCCAATGCTACTCCCCACCCCCACTTTTGGACCCTTCTAGCCCTCCCCCCCTCCTTCTTTAAAACAGTTTATTTGAAAGAAGCTTCGGGTGGACACTGTAGACATCCGGCCGGCCAATCAGAGAGGCGCTTTCTTCCCCTGGCCAATAGCGGGCGTCACATTGTTGTCAAATGTTGTCTAATGGTAACGTAAGGAGCAACAATAGAGCGAGCGCTCGCGGGCGGCTCGGCGAAGATTTCTATCTCTTGGCAACTCTCGCCCTCTTTAGTGTCACACATGCAAAGTTGCGGCTAAGGAAGGGGGGGACCGCGCTGGGCTCTGCCGTCTGCAGAAGGCAGCTCTGGCCGACGGGCTTTTCTTCCAGAGGGGGGGAGAGGCGGAGAGAGGGGACGCGGGGAGGCTGAGAGGCGCTGCTGGGCGCGGGTCGGGAAGCTGGAAGTTGGTGCGCTCGGGAGCGCGAAGGCGGCGGGGATCCCCGGGCGGTTGTGTCTCCCTGGCGCTGCCGGTTGGGGCTGTGGGGCTGCTGCTGCGGCGAGGGAGCCGCCGAGCTCTCCTTGGACAGGGCGCTGGTTTTGTTATGTCTCCAGGGGCTTGTGTACGCTTCAGCCGGGACAGTGTTTTGTAACATTGGCAAGCGCTTGGGCGCAGCTGTCTCCTTTCGCACCAAGGCGCCGCCGCCGCCGCTTGTTAGAGGGGGCGCTCGCTGTTGCCATTGTCCTGGCGGAGTCTCAATCGCAACTTTCCGCAGGAGAAGAAACCCGCAAGAACTAGGGGAACAGGGTCCGGCTGCGCTTTGCAGAGAGGCCGAGGAGAGATGGATTGGTTGTCATTTCGGTGGCTCAGGTACTTTAGGGCTTTCTCGGAAGCCACGGTTTCCTCCGCCCGGGGATTTTAATTTGTGCTGTGGGGATTACGGCAGAAAAGGAAGAAAGGGCCGCGATCACTTTGTGTTGACGCGTTCGAAAAGTAAACTAGATTTACTTTCGCCTAGAGTTAGTTAAGCGGATCATTTACCGGGGGAAGGAAAGGCTGAAAAGTTCCAGGTATTTTAGTTAGGAAACCTGCCTAGACAGTGCAAATTGCCCAGTACTGCATGACAGTTGCTGTCGGAGGGTTTCGTGTCAGGCTATTTGTGGGAGTTATTGAAGGCTATCTGGAGGTTTATAAAATACCCAGGGTTTATTTGGGGGGGGGAGAGGGGCGTAATTCTGGAAAGGGCCCGGGTGCTGACAGCTAGTCCGAGGGGCGTTCCGTCGAGTAACCCGACCGCGTAACTCCGAGAGAGCCTTTGGGAAGCTGCTGCGCTTTTGCGCGCCTGGGGCTTCCCCGGGAGCGCGTCTCTGAGCCTTTCGGTTCTGCTTCCCCGTCAGGATGGAGCTGAGGTCTGAGATGCCCAGCGTGCCCTCGGCGCCCGCTCCGGTGCCGCCCAGCTCGGTGGCGGCGGCCGCGGCCGCAGCGGCGGCCAGCCTGCCGGTGAGCGTGGCCGGGAGCCTCCTGCGGGCGCCGCCGCTGCTCCTGCGCGCGGCCGAGAAGTACCCCCGCACGCCCAAGTGCGCCCGCTGCCGCAACCACGGCGTGGTCTCGGCGCTCAAGGGCCACAAGCGCTACTGCCGCTGGAAGGACTGCCTGTGCGCCAAGTGCACGCTCATCGCCGAGCGCCAGCGCGTCATGGCCGCCCAGGTGGCGCTGCGCCGGCAGCAGGCGCAGGAGGAGAACGAGGCCCGCGAGCTGCAGCTGCTCTACGGCACCGCCGAGGGGCTGGCCCTGGCCGCCGCCAACGGCATCATCCCGCCGCGGCCCGCCTACGAGGTCTTCGGCTCGGTGTGCAGCGCAGACGGAGGCACGGGGGGCTCAGGTGAGCAGGCACAGCCCGATCCCGCCACCTTGGCTGGCCACGAGCGCCCGTCCCCCGCGGGGCACGAAGGGGAGTAAGCCGGGGGCCAGGGAGCAAGTCTCGCCGACCTCAGGGGGGCTTACTTCCCAAGAAACACGCTCGGAATCTCACTGGTTTAAGCGGGGCCGAAAAGGGGAGTCCGCTGAATCTCCATATAATGTCCAGAACAGAGCTGACTTCAGCCGAGCGCGCAGAAATTTATAACTCGGCGCTCATCTCACCCACTTTAATCTGTCCAGCTTACTCAAGCACCATTTCTCAAATCCTTCCATTCTTTGCCGTTCCTTCGCTTTTTCTACCATTGCCTCTACACTTCTCCAAGTCACTCCTGGACATACACGAACAACAGTTCTGAATCTCCCTCCTCCCCTCCCTATTTCCACCACTTAGCACCCTTTGCTCTCATGTCTCCATCCATTCTCACTCCATTTCGCTCTCCACACATCGCACTTATCTGTCCTATGCACCCACGAACAACGCATATTTCAATACTGTACTACTTGTTGGAATTAAGTCCCAGTGATTTCAGTGGGAGACAATTTTACCCAAGCTGTTTATGATAGATAGGATGTTACCAGGTTGCTTATAAATGTGGTCCATTGGAAACAACGGGTCTTATTTCCAAACCAAAACTGAGGCATATATATTCCTCTTGTCTTTTATATACTCTGTCAAGCTCAGAAACTCCTTTAAACTTTCCTTCTCCATACTTATTCCCTGTCTACCCATCTGTACATGTATTTACACCCCACCCACAATTCCTTCCTTCCAGACCCATCTATGACCAGGGGTCACGGTCTCTATTGTGGACCCATTTTATGGCTTGAAGCCTCTGTTCATGCAGAAGCAAACAGGGGTCAGTTGGACTTATTTCCAGGTAAGTAGGTTTAGGATTGTAAGCGATCGCTCTGGGGCAGGGAGCTCCGACAGCAACGCGCATCAGCCTCGCGCTAGTTCTTTGCTCGACTTCTAGGGGAAGGCTCTTCCGCTGCCTCAGCCAAAGGAGATTGCGAGAGAGAATGGCGCCCTCTACCGACCCCCCATCGATCCGACCCTGCTAAAGAGGTGCCAGGTGGTGTGGAGAGCAGGGGCCTGGTTTGCTAAACTGGCTCGGCAAAGGGGGCCAAGGAAGGTGCTTTGGCGTCTGGCAAATTGCGGGGTGGGGATGAGGAATAAGAGCTGCAAGATAGGCAGCACTTTATACACCCACTTTCCCCGGGTGTGTGTCGTGTGAGCCCCACATAACTCAGTGGGGCTTATTTCTGTGTTGACATGTATAGGGTTGGCAGGGCAAGTGCTGAAGAGAATTAACCAGGCTGGTGGGCAGATGCCTGGAGACGTGCGTGTCCCCTTGCGGGAGTGTGTGTAGTGAGTCCAGTTTGGGCAGGCTGCATACTTCTCCGAATGGAGCTCCCCGGCTGCCGCCAAGCACGAGGAGCGGCTGAGAAGTTCTCGGCCTGACCCCCAAACCCAGCTCCACCCCGTCGAGGCTGAGAACTTTTCAGGCGATGGTCAGTGGTGGGGCTCACGCGTCTCTCTCCTTCTCTCTTTCTGTCTCCCCTCGGCAGAGGTCAAGCTGCAGAAGTTCGACCTGTTCCCCAAGACGCTGCTGACCACCCGGGCCGCCACCCCGCAGCAGGCCAAGCCCCTGTCTCCAGATGGCACGGACGGCGCACCGGGCACCTCTTCCCCGGAGGCGGCCCGCCACGGCTGCGGCTCGGGCTCGGAGAACGGCGACGGCGAGTCCTCGCTCAGCTCGCCCGTCTCGAAGGGCGCCAAGGACGGCTGCGCGGCCGAGGAGGAGAGCCCCGGCTCCATCAGCCCGCTGGGCTCCGACTCGGGCTGCTCTGAGGCGGAGCGCGAAGAAGCGGGCGCCCCTTCGCCCGGGCTGGCGGCGGCCGTAGCGGCGGCCGGAGGCAGCCGGCAGCAGCGGACGCCCTTGGACATCCTGACGCGCGTCTTTCCCGCCCACAAGCGCAGCGTGCTGGAGCTGGTCCTGGCCGGCTGCGGCGGGGACGTGGTGCAGGCCATCGAGCAGATCCTCAACAACCACCACCATCACCACCGCGGGGCGGGCAGCCCCGGCCAAGGCCTCGCCGTCGCGGCGGCCGCCGCCGCCTCAGGACTGAGCTCGGCGGGGCCCGAAAAGGCGAGCGACGAGAGCTGGGCTCGGGCTGCCGGGGACACGACGACAGGGCCTCTGGGCGGCCTGCAGCCTTCGCCCGCCGGCGCCGCCGCTCACCACCGCCCCCTGCTGGCCGGCGCCATGACGCCCGCCATCGGCGCGCTGGGCAGCCGCTCGGCCTTCTCGCCCCTGCAGCCCAACGCCACCCACTTCGGCGCGGCGGCGGCGGCCGAGGCCAGCGCCTACCCTCTGGGCACGCACCTGGGGCTGAGCCCGCTGCGCCTGGCCTACTCGGCGGCGGCGGCGCACAGCCGGGGCCTGGCCTTCATGACGCCTTACTCCACAGCCGGGCTCATGCCCACGCTGGGCTTCCGGCCGCCCATGGAGTACGCCTTCAGCGACCTCATGAGGGACAGATCCGCCGCCGCCGCCGCAGCAGCCGCCGCTGCCGCCGCCGCCAGTGCGCACAAGGAGCAGGCCTACCCCAACGGGCTCTACGGGCCCTTAGTCAACAGCGCCCCAGAGAAGCAGTAGGCCAGGACAAGGCCGCGCACCCCTCACGAACCCCGGGCCTGCTTCTTACACACGTGTATATATACATGCTTCGAAGAAAGATAGACTGTGCCGACACCAACGGAAGGGAGGAGGAGATCCATGCCTTCAGCCCACGGGCTGAGTGACATAGGCCTGACCAAGAGTTTTATATCCCGCAGGGATCGCAGCAGTTCTTAAAATATAATTTACACTCGGATGTTAAACGCATTGCTCAGAAAGTAGTTCTCTGGGAAGTAAATCAGCGGAGTTACTTACAGGTTTAAGCTTGGAGGCGAGGCTGCCATAAGAATCCTGGCGGGTCCAGTTTCGTCTGCGTAGAAGCCAGTATAAAGAAGGCAGTTTGGGGTGGGAGGTTTAGGAAGCAATTTAGAGCAGGTGGGGTTGTTTTCAAAAGATTGGCGGCTGCAAACGCCAGTAAAATGCATACGGACACCAGTTGCTCGGAATTATTTCCATTGCCTTTTCCCCCAAGCCCTGAGTTCCGAGTGGTTTCTGGGTTGTCAGGATTTCGTTTCACCCTGTTCGTTGCAACGAAAACTGGTCAAATATGTGGGAGATACTTCTAGGTGTACTGAAGTTTTTTGTCCCCCCCCCCAGGCGTATTTCCATTGTTATAAAGTTGTCAGCCATTTTTATCTTTTTGCTTATGTCCATAAATAAGCATGGATATTCCTCTTGGTGCGTTGTGAGATTGATATATATATGTATATACATACCGAGATATATACACATATATACCAGCAAGTGTATAGTATAATGTTATCAAATGGAAATCTTAAGTTATTAATGTAATTTGTAGGTGATTTTAGTATTAACGGTAAATTAAAAAGTTAGTTTTCAGTTTAAAACACACCAAGCATAGAGATTAAATATATTGTAAATAATTTTAACGCTTCTTTTTATTCACTCACTGAGAGGGGAAAGATACGATTTGTAAATAAATAAAGTTGAAAAGTAGATATATTTGCAATTGTTCTTTGGACTCAATCCAAACCCTGTGCTTGACACCGTTTTAATGCGTGACCCGCAAGAAAAAAGATATTGGTTCCAGTGTAGCAAACTTCTTGCTGTTTCAAAAAGTTTTTGTCTTTTTCGCTGTTTTCATTTCATATAAATCCTAGAAATAAATGTTATTTTGTATTAAAAGTAGCCTTCTCAATAGCTCCTGCTGTTTTTATTTTTTATTTATTTTAAGGGTGGTGGTTGTTTTTTTGCAGTATTTTGGTATGCTTTCGTAATGCCAAGTCAGTGCAAAGTTGTAGTCATTTCTGATCCTTAACTGACCGATTTAAAGCGATTGCCCTGAGCGGACTCCCAGACATTCTTCCAAAACGGTTAACTAACATACCATGCTTGCAATAGACGTTCACAGGAAAAGCTGTAAACCTTACACACCAGTACACAGTTCGGCGGTTAAAAACACACGACCAGAAATAATATACAGTATTACCTTGGTTCTTCTTTTTAATGGATTTGGGACGAAGTAACGGGTGCTGTTTTGAAAAGGAATTTTAAATTTTATTGATCTGTTTCGAATGCTAAATTCAGAGACTGCGATCCTAAACACACGCGCTGGGAACTGAATCGGATTCAGTCAACGGGACCCTCTTAATGTCAGTGTCAACGTGCCTTGTGCACCCAACTTCGCGGTGGATTGCGCATAATTTTCCTTTAATCGTATTGCCGATTTCTATAGGAGTTGGTGGTTAAATTCTGCCTGTTAAAAATGCTAATTGGATTGACTGTAGCAAGAGGGTAGATACTCATTGTTTTTATTTACTTTTTTAAAAAATTAAACGCGCCTATACTTTCAGTGTGAGAATCTTCCGCAGCTCAAGGAAATCTGCTAGATTTCAGGAGAGAAAGCTTCCCTTTTCTTTGATCGACCAATCGCCTAGTTATTCTTCGGGTGAAATTGACCAACACCCGATACAAAGCACGCTTAACTTGGAAGTTTATTCAAGTCATCCGACAGTGTATTTAGTGGGAAGCAAAAGAAGGAAACGAATTTAGTTTTCAGTCATTTGTTGAGGAGTGGGAGTTTTTGGGAAATATACACAAATCAATCCTAACTGCACTTCTTGGGAAGTAAATTTAGTATTTTATATGTTCTAAAACTCACGGAGAAGTGAGGAGACCTGGAAACCGGACTCTGTTTAACTGGCAGGCAAGGATGACGACGAGCAACAGAGCTCTTAGGAATTTCTTACTGTACCTCTAGAATGGCAGTGCTTATATAGGAGGGATTTTCTTTTCTACCCTGGAGAGTGTTTGGCCCAGGAAAACTATTATTCACAAAGAACAAGTTCAGTGCATGGTTGAATTAAGACTGTAAAAGCTCCTAAAATTGGTTGGTATGGAAACCTAATCCCACCCAACTGTTCTGTAGCGCAGCTGGACTGTTTACTTTTTCACTTCAAATATAACTGTGTAAACATTGGTTTAAAACTGACAGCTCTGCTCCTATAACCAGTTAATATATTGGGGTGGAGGGGTGAAAATTTGGATTCCTTAGTGGTTATTGGAAGAAGACGTGGTAATAAATAATAGTGATGATGATGATGATAATTATTAGTGGTAGTAAAAAGGGAGTTAAAAGAAAGACACCTCCAGTCAATTGCATTTCTTCCCCTTCCGTGATTTCTTAAACGCGGTTGAACGGCCTTTGTTGTGTATTTAAAAATTATATTCAAGTTAATTCTTTGACCCCTATGCCAACCCTTAACGGCGGCCAAATCAATAGCACAAGGGAAAGGTTTTTTTCCTTTTTTTAAAAAAATAAAGTCTCAGGTTCCGAAAGTGGTTGAAACGTAATATTACTACACCAAAACGGTTTAATAATGAAGGGCTTTAATAGTGAGCTAATTTGATTGAGTTTCCTAATTCCACTTTAATTGGAAAAAAAGGAGTTGTCTGTTCGGTCATAATGTGACAGGGTTATGGGGGGGGGATGGGCGGGAGAGGACTAGAGAGAAAAAGATGGACTTCGTGCGACAGAGTAAATCTCTGCTCTCGCTCTGTGTGTGTGTAGGGAGCCGTCTGATTTTTCTGGGGTCTGGGATTAAGAGGAGTGGGGCTAACAGAGGATTTTTCTACTTAAGGAAATGAGGTGGACACAATTGTCACTTTCCAGCTGCGGAGAGCGAGCCCCAGTAGCCGCTCACGATTTAGGAAACGCCTCCCGCCACACACGGCATTCCTTGCAAAGAGAATGAGCTGAATATATTCTTTGAGTTTCTTTCTCCGGAACACTTTTTTCCTCAAGTTTCTCAGTGAGGCATCTCTACAAAGTTTCGAAGGGACCTCCGAGGTCATCTAATCAAACCTTTTAAATCTGGGATTTCATGGGATTAAACTGCCTAGACGTCTATAAATTTACAGTTCAAAAGCCCCTCCAGTAGCCAACGTGGCGCCCTCAGCGCATGGGCGTTTCCAGGATCTTTGTTGTGGGGGCAGAACCAACGTGATTGGTCAGTTAGTTAAGTCTTTCTATTGTTTTACTTTACCCCCGTTGGCTACGCCCATACCTCCGCATGTCGTGGATTCCAACTTCCACCATTCCCGGGCAGCACCTTCGCTACCCCTTATCTATTTATTTGGTACATTTATACCCCATTTTTCTTCCAAAGAGCTCAAGATGGTGTGCTTCTCCCCGCCTCCATTTTATCCTAACAACAAGCTTGTGAGGTAGGTCAGGCTAAGCCATAGTGACTGGCCCAAGCAAGTGGGCTTCATAGCTGAGTGGAGATTTGAACCCTGGTCTCTCAGGTCCTAGTCCAACGCTCTAACCACCACACCTCACTGGATCTCTGCCCTGCTCTAGAGCCAGGGGTGTGGCCAACTTGAATAAAATATTGGGGGTGGGGGAGGGACAGGTAAGCTCTGCCTGCATAATCAAATCACAAGATGTGGTGCATGCACACCATTCTGAACGGCAATGCCCATCTACTTTGGGCAAGGGAGGCTTTGTCAAATATTTTATGGGGGGGGCAAAGGGGAGTTGGCTCCTATGCCCAGAGTCCCAATACAAGCACAACCCCACAATAGTAGGCTAGGAGCAGAGAGGCAGCTGCAGAGCAAACACTTCCAATTACTCAAGAAGAAGCCACTCCACTCGGTGGAGTGAAATACCCTTCCTCACTCTTGAATTTGAAGGGGTGTGAGTGGGATGGGTGACATGACAAAACCCATTCCACACCACAAACATGGCAGCCAATCTGATCCTGAACATGAGAACAAACACAGTCCCTGCCCCCAGGCTGCCAAATAAAGGAGACTTTGCCGCTTGGCCTTGCAAAAACCAACCAAACTGGTAGCATTTTCTCTCTGTGTCCCAATTAAAACCCTTGTCCTTCCTTCCAAAGTCTTGCTCAATTGTTGTCATCTCCATAGTTTGAATGGTTCCATGACCAACATTAAATAGTAGTCTACTTTCCTCTCGATTGGCCAGTATAAAGAGCAGATGCATTGCTTGTATCCCCTTCGGATCCCTTGAGTCTCCTAAACTGTAAGCGACATAAGAACATCATTGTAGGGCAACACACTGGGGGAAAGGACAATGTGGTGTTGAGAACCAGGCTATGGCTAGAAGGCAGGAAAAGGGAACCTGTGCCCCTCTCAGGGGTACTGGACTGCAATTCCTATCACCCCTGACCTTTAGTGATGCTGGCTGGGGCTGATGGGAGTCCAACACCATATAGGGAACAGTTCCCCCATCCCTTGATGTAGGGTATGAGCTATTTCTTTATCACATTTATATACCAGCTTCTCCCCCTCCCCCCAATGATCTCAAGGTGGTGTACATGGTTCTCCCCTCCCCATTTTATCATCACAATAACCCTGTGGGACGGACTAGGCCGAGAGACAGTGACTAACCCAAGGTCCCTCATTGAGCTTCATGGCTGAGTGGGGATTTGAACCCTGGTCTCCAAGGTCACAGTCCATCATTCTATTACATCACACCAGTCATGTCATAGGACCAAACCACGGGTCACATCAGTTGCTTATCTCTCATATTTATCTAGCCAGTAGTTTAGGTCTATTTCTTCTTGCTCTCCATCTTGGGGGATAGGGGTGTATCTGAAGGTGTTCTTGGTGGGCAAGGCAGGTCATTCTCCCCAGGGATGTAGTCTAAAAGCTACTAAAATTCCTCTTCTGCTCCCCCCCCATAAATAGATTGCTGGCAGTTGAATAAAATTAAACAAAGCAAGTATAAATAATTTGTAAAATGGAGAGGCAGTGTGCCAGCATTTGCAAACTTTCTGTTAATTAAAATCTTAATCCGTTCAGTTGCATTTTCATTGTTTGGCTGTGTATTGAGAGTGGGGCACGTCCAGGAGGTTTATTATCTGCCCTGGTTGCTTAATAGAAATCAACCCTAATCCACAGCATAATAAAGATAACATTATACTAACAATTTAGTGGCAAAATGACATTTCTCACCAAAGCAAACATCTTTCCTCCTCACCCTCAGATAGGTTAAAGGAGGAAAGGGCAGAGGGTAACCACAGCACAGGTCCCCTTCAGAGGTTAACTTGTACAATGACAAGTTTGGGGAAACCAACTGGCCTGTCCCCAAGCCCGGATTTTTATAGGCCAATTGTGGTTATTCACTAGTGAAAGGCCACAACTCAGCATATGCTCAGAGTCACCCCCCTTTTTATACTTTATTAAACACATGGAGCAGCCCAGTCCAGCCCAGTCCAGAATGGCCTGCTTGTAAGGAATCTCTATATTTGGGCACATTTATTTATGAATGCAGGATTTACTCCATGATTTTTAGAAAAGAATTCAGAATAAATGATGTGTGTTTCCTGGCTTAAGGTGTTGTCCTCTCCATAGTTTCGTTTTCTTCTGTGATCAACGTTACAGAGTGCTTTCCTACGGTATTTGCCCTGCAGCTTCATTTTCCATAGGAAAAAGCATTTGCCAACCTTTGAATGCCCCCCCAACCACCACCTTGACTTACTACTAAAATATTGCTTAATTTTGAATTTCCATGTCATAGTTTAACAAATGCAATGCAATGCTTTATACTGAAGTGTAGGAAACATGGATAAAACTGCTGATAAACAACACATAATATATGAAGAAGTCCTTGCCCCAAAGAAGTGCTGAAAGGTAAAGGTAAAGGGACCCCTGACCATTAGGTCCAGTTGTGGCCGACTCTGGGGTTGCGGCGCTCATCTCGCTTTACTGGCCGAGGGAGCCGGCATGCTTAGGAAGAGCTAAAAAGCTACTTATGTGAATATGGCATCTCATTCTCCCACCTCCTATATAACCAACCCAGCCAATGGAACATGAATATATTCAGCTGCCTGTCTCTGCACAGGCTCTCCAGAGTTTCAGCTGGAGGTCTTTCTCATTATCTGAACTCAGGGATGGGGATCCTATTATACTTCAGAAGTTGTTGGGCTCCAACTCCCATCATCCACAGCCAGCATGGGAGTTGTAGTCCAACAATATCTGGCAGACTACAGGTTCTTAACATCGGCTTTGACTGGAGATGTTAGAGACTGAACCTAGGACATTTTGCATGAAAAGCCTGTGCTCCACCATGGGGCAATGGTCCCTTCCTCTAGGGCAGGCATGGCCAAACTTGGCCCTCCAGATGTTTTGGGACTACAATTCCCATCATCCCTGACTACTGGTCCTGTTAGCTAGGGATGATGGGAGTTCTAGTCCCAAAACATCTGGAGGGCCAAGTTTCGCCATGCCTGCTCTAGAGCATGGCGGTCCAACTTTTCATACCAAGTGGGCCACAAAAGTACTTCAACAAAGAACATGTGGGCCACACACTGCCTTGTTGTGTGGGGTAGGGGGAGCAAGGTCAAAGTTTGAGGCATCCCCTCATATTTTGTTGCCTTCCCAAATCCGGGTAAGGGAGGTGCTGGGCTTTGGGAAGGAGGTGCAAGGCTCTGGTGGGGTCCTCCAGCCCTTCCACCCCATTCCAAAAGCTGAGAAAGTGCTAACTAGTATTAACTAGGCCTTGGAAAGGAAGATAAAAGACTCTAGGTCCTTGCCAGAGCCCCCACATTGTGAGGATTCAGTAGGCCAGTTCAGGGCATGTATACTGCCACCAGCTCTTAGGAGAAAGGATGGGTTATTAATGTAATATTGAATGTAATTTGGACTGTGGTGATTCACTCATGCTCATGATTTACAACACTGATCACCCACAATAAAACTTTAATTTGGAATCACTCTTAGAGAACTGTACCACTGTTGAACAAAGTACAGTTTCAAGTTTTCCATGAGCAAATATGTGTGGGAAGAAAGTCTGTTTTTTTACACATTGCGGTAAGCTTTGGTGTAGATTTTACGGATCAGTCCAGCCTCAGTGAACAAAACTGCTTATTTTTTGGGGGGGGGCGCAGTTTGTAATGGCACTAGCAGTTGTGATGCCATCACAAACATTACCGTTAATTCTGATGTAGCTGACAATAGTAGACAATTGTAGATGTAGCAATTGTATAATTTTGCATCAAGTAAATTGTAACTCATGATATGTTTTCTAGTGCGGGTCTTGCTGTTTAGCAAGCTTCTTACTCCTGACCACAGGAGAGAAGGATATATCCTTTTTGTAATAAAAAATAGCTCTGTCTAATTAACACTTCAAAGTGTTAATTGTGCGTCCATCTTCTGTGTTTTTCGGGGACATTTATTTTCCAAATGCTGTTGATGAACATGTCAGAAGGAGGTTATAATGTGTGTGACTCCTGCTATGTTAACATTTATAATAGTTGTAGCTATTATAAAAAGATAGATGGCAATCAAAAGAGGATTAAGAAAGATTATACTGTACTATACTGTACCATTTTTAATAAACTTGTATAGTAGTGAACTATGCATCATAATTATACAGAAGAGTACAGTAAAAGCCAGCAGAGCCACTGATGTATTGTGATCCAGTGTGAACACAAACAATACACAAACATTCTGAAATGAAACAAATTAGGACTGTAAATATGTGATGTTCCAGGTTATAAGGTTTCCCACGGCCACAAAGAAACCGAGCACAAAATGGATTGGGGGGGGGGGAGCCTTTGACTGTAAATATGTGCACATGCTTTCAACCATATCGTGTTCTTTCATGCATTTTCTTTGTTTCTTCTTTGGACATCACTTTACATCAGATTGAAGGTAAATAAAAATCAACAATGACAATGCAGCCTGATACGAGCCTATCAAACCACAGCCTGCCTGACTTTAGGACTGCTTTTTATGTTACAATTCCACATATGCACATTAACACCCATGTATACACATTAATGCATGTATGTATTAATTCTAAAATGCAAATGGTATGCAAATATCTATCTATTTCCATTTATGGGAGAAAAAGCAGAGATCAGCACCAAAATGCATGGGTCTGTTCAAAGTGAGACATGCAGCTATTATCAAATATATGTGTCTGCTGGGCCAACTTTTTTTCTGGCAGGATCACACCCTCCAGCGTTTATCTGATGAAAATAGGGACATCCTATTCAACAACAACAGCAATTTATTAGTATTATTAGTATTAGTATTTTATTTATACCCCACCCATCTGACTGGGTTGCTCCAGCCACCCTGGGCAGCTTCCAACACATATAAAAACATAATAACACATTTAACACTAAAAGAACTTCCCTATACAAAGCTGCCTTCAGATGTTTTCTAAAGGTTGTACAGTTACTTATCTCCTTGGCTCGGGGGTTGCATAACTCCATACTATACCATTTATCTGATGAAAATAGGGACATCCTACTGTACCCTTCAACATTTCTTCAAAGAAAATAGGGATGTCCTAAGAAAAAGCGGGACATTCCGGGATCAAATCAGAAACTGGGATGGCTTCTGTAAATCCGGGTTCTGCAGGGTTCCTCTAAACAACTTTTAAAATGGCTGACTTCAGGCTTAAAGAGGTGTGTAAGTTGCCTGTGTTGGGCTCCCTCTTAGGTTAGTGGCAACAACAGTAGCAGCAGTCCTGCAACAAGAGTGCTGTTACATCAGGGGCATTGTAGGAAATTTTAAATGACAAGCAGCTCAAAGATCATCAGAACAGTGGTGGCTGGTGCCCATTGAGACTGGTAGGGTGGGAGCTTCTGTTTCCGGCGGTGAGAAATGGCTGACTCCCACACGATTGGACCTCAGCCGTGCCAGTAATTCAGGGTTGATATGGGGGTAATTAGCCCTGGCAGATTGTACCCAATGGATGAAAGGATATATGATCTCTGACATGATGGAGAATCGCACAGCCAGGGACAGGGAACTTTAAAGCATTAAGATCAGAATGTGGAAAATATTAGAACAACAAGAAGGAGGCAGAAATGAAAATATTGGAGATATATTTCAGAGGTCCAGAGTATGGGAAGCTCAAACCTCGGGTTACAGACGCTTTGGGTTACAAACTCCACTAACCAGGAAATGGTTGCTCCAGGTTAAGAACTTTGCCCCAGGATAAGAACGGAAATCGCGTGCCAGCGGTGCAGCGGCAGCAGGAGGCCCCATTACCAAAAGCACGCTTCAGGTTAAGAACTGTTTCAGTTTAAGAACGGACCTCTGGAACGAATTAAGTTCTTAACCCGAGGTAACACTGTAATTAATAATTTGGATTGTAATTTGGCTGTTTTTTAATTTTATTTTTATATTTATTTTTAATTGGATTATGATTTGACAGATTTGTTAATTGGATGTTCTTAATGGAAAACTAATAATATATATATATATATATATATAGAGAGAGAGAGAGAGAGAGAGAGACTGTTAGGGAGGAAGACCAACAATAGGTGGATCCAGAACCAATAGCAGGCAGAGCCAATAAATTCCTATTTTCTTCCCACCACCCTTCCTCCTGCATTCTTTACAGGTAATGCTATAATTAAGGAAGAGGAAGTTTGCAGGCTGTGCCCTTCTG